AAAWRTRTWKYGMRAMWSATTAAGTACTCTGGTCAATTTTTTTCTAAATAATTTGTAGTTCTAGTATTTTGCATCACAAGCTTTAAATAAAATACATGAAAACTACATAAGCACATAGGAATGTAGACATATTTTATGCTTGAAAAAATGCATTATGAGTGAATTTTCAGCGCCTTGTTTGACAGTTTGACTAATAATGTCGCTGTTCTTGAATGATAACAATCACAACTCTATATGAAGCAGATGAAGGGAGATCCTTGTACTTATGAAACCCACGAAATTGTTTTTGTATATGGCCACAGGACATTTCGTCTACAGATTCCATGGTATGCATACTTACGTGCCGTACAGATTCAATAGCATTTTGAAGGTTGACCCAAACAATCATGTCTAAGAATATCACCAAGTTTTTAGAACACGCACTGGCAGAAATGAACTTCGAACTGAAATTCTGTAGCAATACGATTCTCAATCGACAGTTTTGTTTTTGAATCGTAGACTTCTAAACAGCCTATATATCAAGTGTTGAAATTAAAAACAGAATATTTCAAGTACAGCCAGGACATTAAATTAGAATTCCGTACACACCGCTAATGTGGCTCAAATGATTCAACTAATGCATATATCAGGTGAAAATAGGATATATGCATAAGCCGACATTTTTAGTTGCAAAATTTTGCTATCCGTTAAGCGGTGAGCTCTCAGCTATTAGACGTCAGACTTACACACATAACCGCACATKAAAATCTACAGTATCATGACAACTTTAGCCTAGATATTTTGCCTACCTTTCTTGGCGAATTGGGCGCGCAGTTCATGTTGGTATGAAAACCAAYGTTGATGTCAGTTTCTGTTCGTTTTGAAGATTGTAGCTTCCCTTTACTGATGGCAATTGTTTTCATTTCATTCTGAATTTATCCACGCATACTTTATATGCGCTTACTGTGAAGGTGTAGGAGTTAACTGAGTTGCGCGCCCGTGGGCATAAGTACGATTCCCTTTGAATATTACAGTGATAGCTTCCCTTTTTGAGTATTGAAGATATCTGTTGGGCAATTCATAGCGTTGGTGTCGATTTCTCCTTGTAAAATATACCCTGCATGCAATTGATAAATTGATTGAATTGACTTCATGAGTCGATTTCTCTCAACAAGGAGATGGCGACACTACCCACGCACTTGTGATGTTTTCACTGATTTTTTGAATTCTAAGATAAATATTTCGATTCCTTTTAACAAAAYGTTTAATAAATAAGCCTCGATTTCAGTGTTTGGCCCATAAACGTTGATAACAAACACTGCTTGATAAAGTTATTGCATGCATTTCTCATTGTTGAGTATATACTGAATTATCGCTAATAATCACCAATATGTAGATAAAACATATAAAGAGAGCTCTGAGTATTCTCCTAACTTGTTTATCTACAATCCAAGCTAAGTATTACAATTAATAATTTAAAATTTTCCACGTATACATGAATGTTTTTCATCAAAATAATGAGAAATCCATTAAGGTTTGGACTAATTCAAGTAGCTTTGGAGCTTCATTCGTGATCTCCACTTTCTGTTTGCGAATGAATAATAGATTTTCAACATTATCGGGCACTTACACGTTTACAGATTTGGCAACAAGGTTAACTGAAAGTGCCCAACTCTCAAAAAAAACAACATCACTGGCAATACTAATAGACGTTATGAAAGCGTCTAGTGCTTTGAGCTTCCGACTATTCATCTCTTATTCTGTTCCACTTTCCACTGGCTGTGGAATTTAATCGTCTACTTGAAAACTGATAGTTCAGTTATCAAAAAGTACATTTTATTACTATTACACCATACAGACAGAGAAAAATGCTGAAATAATGAGGTTTAGGGCCAATAAAGCTCTTATCCTTGAACAGATCTAAACGCCCATGTARAACCACACGCTGAGTTCAGGTAGAAATAGTCGACGCTTGTCATTAAATTCTAATTACAGAGGCTTAATAGGTATTGGTTATTCTAGAAACCGATGTAAGCGGTGTTTAAGCCCCCCGATGCAATGCGTTTTATTCATGAGCGACTGTAAATATGTATATTGGGCTATCCATATCACCAAAACTGCAAAACATTACCGCATCATCTTCGTATAGCCACAAGGTAGGTTTAGTTGTGATTGTTAGAATATACTGATGTGAACGAATGGTATTTGTATCTCCTTTTTTGAATTTCCAAAAGTTTACATGATTGGCACATTTGTAAGTATTTTACTGTTCTTAAGCTGATTTTTAGTAGATTTTAGATTGCGTAATGACACGACTTATATGCCAATTTGATCCCAATTCGTTCCGGTTTACGTCAAAATGGACCATTAAAATGAAGAAAAACAAATTAAAGATTTACAGCCAGAAATAACTTTTGTCGTTTTGAAACCTTCATTTTATAGGTATTATTTTAGTTATCACTGATTTACTAAAATCGTTTGAAATAAAATAAACTCTCAAGTGAGTATGATGAGAAAGTTTTCACATTTCATTCTTTCGTCATTTCTTTTTTCTTTCTTTCTTTTATCAGTTTGCAGAAAATTTATATATATTATATATATTAAGACTGTGAGTATAGCTTTTTTAGCCGTTTTATAATTTAGAAGTCTTGAATTTACTCTTGTTGGGAAATGCTTGCCATTTTGAAGGTGAAGTACGTGGATATTCTTGGTTAAACGCCAAGCCTATTCAATGAATCATTCAAATGAATAGTTAATAGGATATTTGATTCTATCCTTTGTTATGATTTTTTGTCTTTGCACTATACACGCACTACATGATGCATGTTTTGTACATTGTTTTGAAGAAAAGTATTCAGTTCATGTCAAAATTTCGTATTTTGTTACTATTTGCGCGCTTTTACGTTTGTTTGAATTTTTTAAAAAGACAAAGTTTCAAAGCCATTTGACGTTTGCCGTACATGGTGAATCTAAATCGACTTCGACACCGTATTTTTTCGCTATCTCGTCCGTCCATTAGCGCGAGTAGATGCATTCTTTTTAAATCATTTTAACCCAAAATATATAATAACTTAAGGCATTTTAGGTTACTCACTAACATTATACATAGAAATACAAAAAAAAAGACGATATGTCAGTGAGGGTTATTTTTTCGTCTACAATTTTAAAAATAAAGGCTTCCTTATCTACTCGTTCTGAGTTGTGGACAGTGAACAAACTATAGGATATATTAGTGCAATAATGCAAAGTCCATTGAAAACACAAGCCTTAGGTATTGCTCTAAAGAAAACAAAAGGATTAGGAACTAGGGTTAGGAACTAATGTGTTTGTACTCTTATATTATCACGCAGCCGCAATAGTTGTGATGCATTATCTATTGGGCTACCTGTGGATTTTATTTCTCATTTTCCTTTTCTGCATGGAAGGGTAGGTTATCAGGCTTCTTGATGTTATAGGCGATATGCATTATGACGCCATTTTACTACCACACAGAATGCTCTTTGTATTTTCCTTGTTACTTTAGATTTTTAATTTATTTGGAGATAACTTGAGATAACAGGCCTTTTGCATGAAACAGTCTCATGGTACTAAGTGTATTTTCTTTGTTATTTTAGATTTTTAATCTCTTTGGAGATCTTTGGAGATAACGAAGTGAGATAGTATTGAGGCCTTTTGCATGAAACGGTCACATGAACACTAAACCCACCATGCTCGATCGCAAAATACCATTTGGATGTTCAAAACAAAGAAAAGTCAAGCTTAATGGCCTACGTTCCTTTTATGAGGCTGTTTACATTGTTTTGCAGTCCAGTATGGTAGATTTACTACCATGTGACCGTTTCATGCTAAAGGCCTATTGGGACTAATTACATTACAAAAGAAAGTGGGCAAAGCATTCTGGTCTTGGTATATGTGACGCCATAGGGCAAGTCGCCTATTTCCGCAGATTATTYAATTCTTGATAGGCATGCCTTAGCCGCAAATGCTGAGTGCAGATTTGAGTAGAATTCTCTTTTAGGACTTGCAAAGCTTCGGTATTTAGAACTGACGATGATATCTCAAAACAAGTCAAAAGATTGCTAAGAAATTACGACAGTAGAATTCGTCCACAGTACAACGGTAAGTCACCAAAAATATTTCTAAACTACTCGCGCGCAGAAAACCACGAACATAATTTTTGTGTTTATTTTCAGGTCCACCAATAGAGATTCTTATTGATTTCTCAGTCGCTTCCTTTGGTAGTCTTGATGAAACTAACATGGTATGCAAATGAAGCAGTTTATTCAGATGATGTCATCAGACGTCAATTAAACCCCCCTGAGCTACCAGCCTTTGGGAGGGAAGGGGAATTAACGCTTTTTACCAGGGAAAGTAGCGCTGTTTTAACGGCATCAATCCATTTGGAAACGGTGGAATTAAATGTCTTAATCAAAGAAATTGAAGCGGTCAGACTTCTTTTTGGCTCTCGAAATGACAGGAAAGTCAAGTAGGACTTTTAATATTGTTGAAATTTGAAAACCCACAGTAGTGCCCCCGGAAAATACACCACAAGTGTTGATAGAATAATATGACAAAGGCCACGAGCCATGTTTGATGCTCCAACCAGCAACATACCCCCCAGTATCATCCAACAAGGTGGCAAAAGGTTGGCTCGCCCAAACATTGTTGGATGGTGTACATGTTGGGATATCCGGCATTTCTCATTATTTTAAAAGCAGGCARTCTCAGAGAAAGTGTATCAAAACAACCTCGTTCCCAGGTCCCTTTCCCTTTGTTCGTGGGAAGGACCTGGGTACAAGGTTGCGCGATTGCGCGCCAAACTATAAGTGTAAGTGCAGGGCGAACCATATTTAGCGGTACGTAACCGTCGCGTTTCTTAATAATTTTTTTATCAATTCAGGTGTACAGCCTTGATATGTTTTTCCGTCAAACATGGGTGGATCCAAGACTTCGATTCCAAGTCAACGAGACTATAACCCTCACTATGGGTACCAAGCATCCAGCGGACTATATCTGGGTGCCTGATACGGTTTTCGTTGACTCTATTGATTCACAAATGCATGACGTAATGGTCTCAAATCACAAAATCGACATACAACCCAATGGCAAAGTCACATGGGGAACAAGGTATGGTTACATAAAATGGCTGAAAACTATGTAAATGTTATTATTTAGTCGGGAACTATAGCTATAGACTTGACGGCGGACGTTTGGTCATTGTTTTCTCATTGGAAATCAAACTGACTATAGTTTTTCACGGGTCGGCCAAAATTTACTCCGTAATAGAGCCTATACGTTGTCCACATCCGTAATTCGTTTCTTAAAAGCTTTGAACTTAGTTTATTCAACTAGAGACATAATTACATAATTATGATAGCGTCATCTTAATTGAATAGTTTAAATGTAAATTGTAGAGGGTTTAGCTTTTCAGTCCCATTTAATCTTCTTGTTCAATTACATAGTAATGAAAACATTGAATATGCCAAAATATGTTACTTTTGCAAAATGTTATCTTTGTATGTTATGTTGTCTTTGGGGCATACTCTGCAGTCAGTCGCTGAAAGTAGGCTGAGATAAATCAGTCACCTCACAGTTATGTGACAAATGGGGAGAAACGTAGCGATTAGGTGACTTCGTCTTTATTTTTTAAGGGCTTCGGTGACGGCACGATGCCAAATGGCTCTTCATAGATTCCCGATGGATGAACAGACATGTAACTTTAGTGTGATAAGTTGTAAGGATGAATATCATTGTATAATTTATAAAACAAGCAACTATCTTACGCAGTAGTGTCCATGTATAGTTTAGAGAAATAGAGAAAGAGAGGATATTACATGGGCGCGCGGAGATACGGATTTTATCTTCGAGTGTTCGCTACGCTCACTCGTGAGAGATTTTCAACACGAGAAGATAAAATTCGTATCTCCAAGCGAACATGTAATATTCTATTTATCATATAAATACATATGAAAGCAAATTATGTCGTAAAATACCTTTTTTTCTTACTTCCACTATAGAGAAAAACCCCGAATGTGTTATTTTCACTAGTGAAAATATCAAGTTTACGAAATGGAGAAATATATGTATTTCATAGATACATGTATACCTGTATGTATTTCATAGATATATACATGTATATATGATAAAGTGTTTTATCGGTTATAAAAGTTTGAACCACAGGCTGTATTCTTGGAAAATATCCTTTATGAGAAAAATGAGATGATCTGATTATGCGCAAATCACTGTACAAAGCGCGCGTAGCGCTTTAAGAATATAATACTGATATCAATGATATCCGATGCTATGAGGATTGGGAAGCCTGTGGTGGAGCGAGTGTCACATGAAAAATCACTGGATCTAGTTATGCTTACAAAGCATATAACCAGCTAGTGAATGTATTTTTTTATTGTTTGTAATCTAGATGCATATCCTGTTCGCCATCTTATCTACCGGTGGAGAGAAAAACCCGGAGTAAAAGTTCTCAATGGCGAGATGTCACAGTTTTATCTGACGAGAATCCAGACGGCACTAACAAATGAACATTATGTCGCAGGTAAAACATATTCTCAAATATATTACCATCTGCACTCATCGTGATCGCTCATATATCACAGCTATGTATTGGGCTGCCCATAGGCTGCCCAACTATTGCTTGGCAGAATAAAARAACTAGCTGCGCGCGCTTTTTATCTATCGACGAGCGCTATGCGGATTATTTGTGGTATTACGTCACGATCCCGTGCCTCGTGTGTAACCAGCTATCTTTTTCTCTCAAGCAATAGTTGGGCTGCCTATGGTTTGGCAGAAAATTTTCAGTATTAATGCAGAGTAATGTTGACCTCAAAGTCTCAAAACGCASAAATCAACTGTTCAGGGATTTGTTCTCTTCAATCAGTTCAATGAGATTTTCAGGTGTTCTCGCTTCAAGCCTGTAAGACATCGCTTCTATACTGATTGGCATTTTTSGGGCACAATTATATGCGCACTAAAAAAAAACGTATTTTGGGGTGCTTGGGACGCGGACTCTTGAAACAAGACCGTCTACACTTAATATATATGCATCAAGAATGATACTTGACTGAAAGCTATGCTAATTTTGAATTAATTCAATTTGGTCATTTTTCAGGCGAGTATTCGTTGCTTATCGCTATATTTTCATTTAAACGTCGAGTTGGYTTCTATCTTATTCAAATTTACGTTCCGTGTATGGCTATAGTATTTGTGGCCTGGATGTCACTTTGGGTTGACAGAAACGCCATCCCAGCTCGTATAAGCCTATGTATCACGACTCTCCTCACCATAGCAACCATATGGGGGAATGTTAATGCCGGTATGCCTCGGGTATCGTATGTYAAGTCCATTGATATTTACCTCATGACGTCATTCTCCTTCGTATTGGGTACATTGATGGAGTTTATCGTGATCGCCAACTGTCATGGACGAGAAAAGAAGGTACAGACATTTGATACATTGTTTGTTTCGGTCCTTAATTTAAATCTTATTAAGGCGCTAAGCCATGTGGGACAAGATCAGGGCATGCGCAACTGAGTACTATAGTTTCATTGATTGGTTGGTTGGTTGATCGATTGATTGATATTTCATTACAACATGAATACCTAAGCTTAGCATCATGTAAACGCAATCTTAACAATTTTCATTCTAAAGGAATCTACACGAAGAAAACTAAGCAAGATCAATCGTCGTCATTCAGATTCAAGCGTTGAAACAGCAGAAATCGCAGAAAACGTTATTCCTGGCAATGACGTCACTCCTAGACAGAATCAATGCTTGAACTTCATTAGTATCTACAGGCGCCAGTCCGGCACTATTTCACACTGCATGCATTGTCAAAACAAGAAAAAAATGAATTTTTGGACAATAGACTTAAAAAGCGCCGAAGTCTACGCACGAATTGGGTTCTTGGCTGCATTTGTACTTTTTAATATAATTTACTGGGCGTTTTTACTCATTCCCGACTTCAAATAAAAAAAAAAACATCGTCTATATGATTGCTCAAGATCAGGATAATTAAACTATTAAAATACTTCTTAGATCCCTAGTACAACTTGAGGTCTATACATTCTCTATTTAATTAAGTCTTTTAATCGTCTAGGAGCCGCCTATAAAGCTGCTTTCATTTTTAAAGTTAATTGTCCCAGCAGATTCGTGTATATACCGTTACTTAAAATGAGAAGTCCCTAAGCCCGCACAGGAAAKTAATACCTTTCAGCTGTACATAAACATTTAGTTATAATATCTAGTTAATAAAAAGTCTGTTGACATTGGAGAATTACTTCTTGATATGACTTTGCCCTCGATAAACACAAAGAGCTATCTCCCGTCATGGAAGTACAGTGTTTTTTCAACTGTTTTTCYACRTAGAGCCCAAGAAATGACGCAACCAAARCGCCGACATCAACGATGCACAATGCATACCCCATTCCAAACTCGCGCTCCTTCTCTTTAAGAGACTTTGACAAAAATTCAAGTGCATTATATAAAAATATACCAGTAAAAAGTCCTCCTGTGAAACAGAGAGCAATAAGAGACCAAAGCCCTGGCAGATAACGATACCACGACTCGGTGAWATAAAGAATCATGTGAAATACTTGCAAAGTGGCAAGAAACCACAGTTCTGGAAGTGTTATATGGTAAACTAGACGGGGACTTATGGCGTGTAGCATTAGTCGAAARGCACGTCCAAGTGCTTCGCCTACATGATAACTTAAGAAATAGTACTGGTAGTAATTGCGAGCTGGATATGGGCCAATGGGATAGACAATCGTTGTAACAATGGATTCAAGTGATGTGTATTTTGACACCGAAGAAATGAACTCGGGAATAGCGACGTAGGCTAGTACTTTCCAAATGGCGGAAAASTTCTGCTTGTTGGTTAGTCTCATTTCATTTTCTTTGACACAATCTTCTTTAGATGAAATAAGTAGGTCATAATTCATCGAGTGACTTGGATTTTGATTGGATAACTTGGTAATGACGTAGTAACAAACTGGATACAGCAGGCAAAGAGGTAATAGGATGATGAGTGTGATGCTGGGGGAAACACATAACCACGTGGTCAACGCTGTAAAAAAGAAAATAATGTATTAAATCAATACTGACCGCTATTGCATACATAGGGGACGCTTCTTTATGCACCATTTGTAGTCTATGTGTAAACTTTAAATACCGAAAAGCATAGCAACCAAAGTTAGATACTTGCCTCGATAGTTCTTGGCAATTATTCGTAATTGATATCAATTGTCATAAGTGTGATATTATCATTGTGATTTTTTCTAAGCCGCCAATCAATGGCCCTATTTCCTAATGTTTGTGCTTCGTRCAAGTGCACCATAGTACAAAGTAGTATTATATAAACGATTATAATATGGTTGAATAAAATTGTGCAATTTTATTGGCTTAGAGGAGTGGTATTTATCGTTAATGGTGGTATTTCAAATTGCACAATTTTCTTCAACCATTTTATAAACAAATAATAGCATGTTTTGTACGTGGAATTTAGGATAAATACCACTAGTGATATTTCAAAATTGTCACAGATTTCACTCGCTTCCCTCGTGAGATTTTTTTTGACAATTTCAGTTGAATATCACGCGTAGTATTTATCCCAAATACCACTACAAAAGATGCTATTACCTATACTAAGACGTTGATCAGTTGTTAAGGATACTTTAGAAGAACGTAAAAATGAAAAAAAAAAAAAAAAGAAAAATGGTTGAGTGTCAATTTGGTTTTCAAAACAAAGAATTGTACATTTTGTTCTAGGTAAAATAATTTACTATTGGCTATGAATAACGACTGAGACTGCCATCGCGTGACAAAATAAATTACTGCAAAATGTTTTTTTCTTTATGTACCCATATAGTAGACAGCAGATCCAAGTAATCCACATCCACAGCCAATCGAGTAAGCAAACAGCGCCCTTTCTGATGAAAACAACGATGAAAGCCCAAGGAACGTTGCTTCTCCGAGTGCATAGGAAAATGACTCCAAAGCYACACCAAACAGCTTCCACGTAGTGCCCTCCATGAATGCTATCAATGGATAGGCGACGACCAAGCAAGAGGTGACTATGAAAATACGCCATKTATAAGAAATGCTTGTGATAAAATACGGTCCAATGAASAACATGATACTCGATGGAACAGACATTGCAGCCAACAGCRTAGATGTGGGAAKATCAGTTCCTACTAGAATATCTGGCACAGCCGCAAGTAATATAAARTCTACTCCGTGGCARRTAAGACCAAGTGTAAAGAAAACGACCGAAACTGCGCCGAATTCATAAGCCATTTCTATTAWGTGAAGTGAATTTCTCAACTGAATAATTAATGAGTATTATAAAGTTTTAATGCGCATAAATTAATAGTGTAATTAATTATTGTTCAATATTCATGTTCGACAATCTCGCTGAATACCATATTGCTGATTAACAATCGATGATCAGGGCGATCTTTCTATATACCGCTTTTAAAGTAGAAGTTGATCTGCTAATTGCTTTATTGAGATAGCATTCAGCAAACGTTTGCGATGAATCGAAAAAAGGCAATTTCTCAGACGACTCCTTCACGGTTCCCTGCGCCATATGAAAGGTGTTGACAATTTGCATTGAAGCGAAACCTAAGCCTTTTTTCACAAATACAGATATCATTCATATGATGGGGTTCAACACAAATTAAAGAATTTGAATTATGAACAATAGACCAGTACTGAATGAGAAATCCTTCTTTTAACTTCAACCAACTTAGTCGCTGTGACGTACATACGAATAATTTATCGTTGCATGCTCAGCGACAGTCTCGCTTCAATGCAAATGCATGGCTTCCTATCACGTCTGTCACAGATGGCGCAGGGAACCATGAAGAATGAACTGTTTAGAACTTCTCATGAAGCATGCAGAGCGGTCTAGACGAGCACCACTACAATGGGAAAACTTGGGGATTATAAAAAGGATCCAGAAGAATCGAAGAAGAAAACCAAAAAAGAAGGCGTTTTTCGTTGTTCTTCTTCAATAAACTTATTCATTAACTTTCGTTGGGATTGTTAAGCTCATGTTGTCTCTTTTGTTAATTCATTGCCTTTTGCGGGCTCTTGATTTCTTTATGCTTGTCATCGTGTGAACAAGGTTTGATTTCAGTAATTCATGAGTAATGATTTATTTTATATGACCATAAAACTATTCAAAAAAGAAGAAGAAGAAGAAAAAGAGTCACCGTAATACCTGATAACAAATTGAGATATAATAGAACACATGTACACTTTCTCTTCCATCTGCGCATCAAATAGGAATAATGGAAGGTTAGAGTGCTAGAAAGGAGGTTACTCCAGGCGAAAGAACCATGGAAATAAATATATTTGGAAACATTAATTTCCGATATCGCTGGACCTCGGTGGTCTACGTAACATTGAGCGCCGACACAAGTTTAGTCCGGGAGCCACTTGTTTGATTTGTTGTTGTGTTAATCCTTTTTAATCAAGGAGAAATACCGCTGGCTTGTCCCGTAATATCATTTAACAACGATTTAATCCCCACTGAGGATATTAGTTCCTGCATATAAAAAGGAGAATTTCCAAGTCTTCCAACATTGGGAGTGTCTTGTCAAGACCAATCTTGGAAATACCCATCTAATAAAACATGTTTCTTATCTAAGGCAAGATCGTCCATGTCTCTCTAAAATTTATAAAATCAACTTAAACGACCCCATTATTCACTTAACATTCCTTAAATTGTTAGGGAGAATTACTCTTTTTTACATTGAGTAAGCACATCTTGATATGATATTGCCCTCGATAAACACAAAGAGCTATCTCCCGTCATCAAAAAACAGTGCATTTTTAACTGTTTTTCCACGTATAGCCCAATAAACGACGCAACCATGGCACCAAAATCCATGCTACAGAGGGCATACCCCATCCCAAACTCACGTTCATTCTCTTTAAGAGACTTTGACAAAAATTCAAGTGCATCACAGAAAATTATTCCTGCAATAAATCCCCCTGTGAAACAGAGAGCAATAATAGACCAAAGCCCTGGCAGATAACGATACCACGACTCGGTGAAATAAAGAATCATGTGAAATACTTGCAAAGTGGCAAGAAACCACAGTTCTGGAAGTGTTATATGGTAAACAAGACGGAGACTTATGGCGTGTAGCATTAGTCGAAAGGCACGTCCAAGTGCTTCGCCTACATGATAACTTAAGACATAGTACTGGTAGTAATTGCGAGCTGGATATGGGCCAATGGGATAGACAATCGTTGTAACAATGGATTCAAGTGATGTGTATTTTGACACCCAAGAAATGAACCCGGGAATAGCGACGTAGGCTAGTACTTTCCAAATGGCGGAAAACTTCTGCTTGTTGGTTAGTCTCATTTCATTTTCTTTGACACAATCTTCTTTAGATGAAATAAGTAGGTCATAATTCATCGAGTGACTTGGATTTTGATTGGATAACTTGGTAATGACGTAGTAACAAACTGGATACAGCAGGCAAAGAGGTAATAGGATGATGAGTGTGATGCTGGGGGAAACACATAACCACGTGGTCAACGCTGTAAAAAAGAAA